ACTATATTTCTCATGTCCTCGTCAACAGAGTGGTTTGGCAATGAATCCATGTTATAGACAGTCTCCTTAGTTGGTCTCACAATTATTAACACCCAATGACCCCTACACAAAATGATCCATATAGATTAAATATACTACCAAAAAAAAAAAATACAAGGGACCAAGTATAGAAGGGGACTAACTCTGGATTATAAGGCACCAAGTAAAATTGATCCCCATCTGCGTTTTTCAGGAAGTCTGAGATATGTTTTGAATGGTGAGATAACATTCCAGATTGAGAGCTAACTTGTCTAGGGTCCATGAGGCCAACAAGGTTTACCATATTTGTCATTTTAAAATAGTCAATGAAATTCAATTAAATGAGATTTTAATTTAAAGAAAGGAAATGTAAAAAAAAAACAAAATTGGATTTCTAGAATTACCTCATGTATAGTGCAATCACTGTGGATCCAATCTCAACCATCGAAGTGAACTATAAAATGTCTTCACTCAAGAGCTAGGTATCATGATCAGTGCCAAACACTTCCTCTGGCATGTGAATTCTAATGGTCTCGTAAGCAGGCTTCAGCTTGGTCTCGACATATTGGCATAGGGCTAACAGAGGAGCTGGCATGTCAAGCTTTGAGAGATCCTGTAACAAGAAATAAATAAAGAAATAAAAGTTAGTTTGTACGTGAAGTAAAATTAACGACTCCAACAAATCAACAAAAACGAAGTGGTATATAATATCAACGATGGTTTCTAGAACATATTGACGGGTAAAGGTTATAGATGACGGTAAATACATAACAGTCGTGGTGTAAATGTTATAACGTCGCTACACAATAGAAAGGTCGTCTATGTTAAAATAGACGACGGGTTGTAAAATAAAACCCGACGTCTATTTAAAATTTAAAAATCAGAAAAAATCAAATGGAAGAGATTTTACCGTTTCATCTTGACGGTTTTCGGTAGCATCAGCATCAGCATCCACATCATTCGTGGGATTGTCTTCCTCCAAAACAAGGGCTCTCACATTAGAGCAGCTTGCTTTGTTAGACATTGGATTTTTTGGGCTTTGCTCTTGAGGAATTGGAGGATTTGGAGTAATTGGAGTAATTGGTGTAGTTGGAGTTTTACCGAGCAGGTTGGGATCAAAGTTGGGAATTTGTTGACTGAATTGTTTCAACAAAATTTTCCTCTCTGCTCTGACTGCCTCCATAACACCTTCCTTTGCCTTGGCCTCCATATTTTTGGTTTCCTCTCTCACTGCCTCCATAACACTTTCCTTCAATTTGTTAGCAAATTTTACTCTTTGTTGTCTCGGCAAATTGAAGAATTAAGTTGGGGAAACCCCAGCTCCAACACCTCTGACTCTCCCACCATGCTCAGGGGTTCCCAAAGCCAAGGTCAAAACATCGTTGCTCTCAAAGACAGTCAGAGTGCCCTCGGAGACTTGTTTTTTCAAATCATCCTAAAGTGAGAGAGAGAATGTTAGTGAGTGAATAGATAGTAAAACTGATTAAATAAATAAATAAATAAAATTATTAACCGACGTGGTAAACAGGTTAAGATGACAATTTATTTAAAAAACAGACGGGTTCCCAAAGCCATGGTCAAAACATCGATGCTCCCAGAGACAGTCAGAGTGCCCTCAGAGACTTGTTTTTTTAAATCATCCCAAAAGTGAGAGAGAGAATGTCAGTGAGTGAATAGATAGTAAAACTGATCAAAAATAAATTAATAAAAATATTAACCGATGTGGTAAACAGGTTAAAACGACGGTTTGTTTTAAAAACAGACGCATAAAATAATTTAATATGTCGTCCCAAAACTACCGTCGTTGTAATTCAATGAAGACGTCGAATTTATAAAAATACTGATGTTATATATTTTTTAAAAGGCGGTGATTAAAAACCATCGTGGGGTTTCATGTCTAATGACGGTTGATAAAAAGACTGACGTCTGAATGAAAAATAAAACCTTTGTTTTACAAGTTTAGAACAGAGTCAGTGAGACTTACGATTAATTTTGCCTTCTCTGCAACCTTTGGATCAGGGATGTTTCCCTGTTTATCTTCTCTTACCTTCTTCCATAGCAGAGATCGATCAATTTCTTCACTAGGCATGGTTTCTTCCAATTGATCCTCCAAACCAACGTACCCTTTTCGAGACAACCTATGGTTGTACTCGCATTTCTCCCTTCTTTGTGACTGCTCAGAATGCACAGCCTCAAAATCTGGGGATAACCTTGAAGCTACAAAGGCATCCCATTGCGATTTCTTTATGAAGTTATAAAGCTGAGGGGACTCTTTTAACTTCTCCTTTTCGTTTGCGAATGGAAGGATAAACTGCCTAGTTAAGGTAGATTTAAAATCCTTCCATTTTTTGGCGGCAGACGACAGCACCATCTTCTTGCCCCCTTCCCCAACAACATAAGCCATTTGAACAACTTCCCAAATCTGCTCCTTCAGGTCCTTGGGCAATTGAGTCCATTTCTTGTCCACAAGAGGGATTCTGGTGCGTGCCAAAACACCAATGTAACTCTGCATCTCAATAGCAGCCTTGCCATGTGGTCTGCCACTTTTATTGTACTCAACCACATGCTTAATCTTCTGGATTTTCCTCTTCACAACATGGCTCATTGTGTTGATACCGCAAGTCGATTTCGTCATTGCATCAAATATCGTAGAGCTTGGGTCTTTCTCGGAGGATGAAGAAAATTTCATCTTCTTTGCGGGATTGCTTGGAACATATTTGGATTCACCCATTTGTGCCTTTGAAACAGCAATGTCCTTGCCTTGACCTTTTGACGCTTGAGCCTCCTTACTTTGAGATTTTGAAACCATGTTTAGAAAGAAATACAAACTGCAAGAAAAACAACGACGGTTAGGTAAAATACAGACGTAAAATGAAAGTTTAGACGACGGCAAAAAAACAGAACCGTCGTGCGAATTTATAGAAAAGTGGATGTGCTAATACGATGTGGTCATTAACTTCAAACATGGTAATTAAATAAAACTGTCGTCGTATTATAAGTTCATAAATAAATAAAAACCACCCAGTTTTCTCTCTCCCACGTTCGTTTCAAAGCAGACGAAGGTTTTTCTCTTTCAAACATTTATTAACACACCACGTCGGTTATTATGAATAGTAGTGCTATTAAAATACCACGAATTTAATTACCGTCGTCGTGTATCAACAAAAACGTCAAATTCGATAAAAACTCGTCGTCTTCACAGGACTGTGAGTGGGAACAATGAAAGATTTGGCCTTTTCATACTCTACTCTTGTTTCAAACATCAGTGCGACTCGTTCTTTAAATAAATAAAAAACTTCAAATGAAAGGGAAAATGAAGAAAAAAAACGGAGTGAGAAAATACCTTTGGCTTGCGAAGAATTTTTTATTCGGAATCAAATTTTGGAGACGAAGACGAGGAAGAACGTAAAAGAGAGGGAAACTGAGAATCAGAAACGCATCTTTTCATAAATGAGAGGAAAACTGAGAGAAAACTGAAAATTTTAGAGAGAACGTAAAAGTTTAGGTTAGGTGACCAAAAAGTTTATATAGTGTCCCAAATATAAATACAACGACGATAGTGATGAAAACCGTCCTAAGATGTACTTACCACGACATTAAAATAACATCAACTGACGTGGTTAGTAAAAAAGCCTTTTTACTTTTTGTATTTACCACAGCATTAAAATAACACCAACGACGTGGTTAGTTGGGCGCTACACGTCAAAAGTTTACTTTTGAACAAGTGATATTACAAGTTACTACGTCGTTTTTGTATGTGGAACCAACGTTGTTTGTCTAAACCTTGTTGCTTTTAGTTTAATGACCGGCGTTGTTTGTCTTACCTCGTTTGTTGTATACGTCTTCCGTGTTTTAAGAACCGATGTAGATTTCTTTTGTTCCACGTCGGTTAGTGTAATATAACCGATAACCAACGTTGATGTGAATATTATTTTATAAATTGAGTTTTTTTCTCGCTTTCTTTCATTTTCAGTTTTCAATTAGGGTTCCAACTTCTTCTTGCCCTTAGCTCTGTCTCACGTCTTAGGAGGCAATTGTTTGGATGTTGATGTGCGTGTGCGTTTGTGTATCTGAAAGACACAAACACACACACATCATCAACTTCCAAAAAATTGTCTCTCTGAATGCAAATCTGTGCCTGCCATCGTCAAATTTTATAGGCAATTGTTTGGATGTTGATGTGTGTGTGTGTGTGTGTTTGTGTATCTGAAAGACACAAGCACACACACATCATCAACTTCCAAAAAATTGTCTCTCTCATGCAAATTTGTGGCTGCCGTAATTTTGGAAGTAAATTTTTGGATGTTGATGTGTATGTGCCTTTGCGTATCTCAAAGACACAAAGATA